ACCTCACACAGACACTTAAATCATCAGAAATATGGATCGATAATAAACCAGAGAGGAGGAGGAGGAGGAGGTGGAGGAGGAAGGGTGGTGTGGGTGTTGACCCCGGGGAAAAACACTCAGCTAAATGGACTGGTGCTGGCAGCTGCTACTTCATCACGTACAATATCCCCCCGTACAGTTTACAGCCTTTCTGTTTTGGCCGCTGCTCCCTGTGGTCCCATCGCTCTGGTTCACGCCGGGCACTGGTTTAAACGCAACTAAATCCGCTCTTTTTCACCACTCAACTGCATATACGGGGTTTAAGCATTATCTATGGTTTGTGTAAAATCGCTCAGTCGTCCAGGTTAGGGATGGGCATTCGATTACATTTTCTTTTTACGATCGATTATCAATTAATCTTTGACATTTTTATATCAAAATTCTCATCATTATTATTACTATGTGCACTACTAATCTACATAAATAAATTCAACTTTACAACTTATAAACCGTAACCACTCTAGTGCAGGGGTGCTCAATACGTCGATCCCGATCTACCAGTCGATCGCCAAGGTCGTGTGGGTAGATCGCCGTGTCTCGTCTCGGACTCGATCGCGTTTGGACTCGGTCTTGTCTCTCACTCGAGGTCTGACACTCAACAAGTGTGATCATATTTCATTCCGGCCGCTGCTGTTGGTAATAAACTTGTAGCGGGTGCAGGAGCGTGTGGGGCGTCTCAGTGCCAACTAATGTTGTAGTCAAGGCCGCACTTATTGAGACCAAGACCAGTCCGAGACCAGGACAAAACCAAGACCTCTGAGGGTTGAGACCGAGACAAGACCGAGACTTTTAAAGGTCAAGACAGAGACAAGACTGAGTCCATGGCCCATCAAGACCAAATCAAGACCAGATCTTTGTCATTTTCCACATTTATTTAGAACTTCAACTGGCACTTTACAGAAAAAGTGAAGAAAGTGTGTAGGATTTTTTAATCTGTTTTTCCATGTTTCTTACTGGAGTTACATTCTCTTACAGGTTTTGCAGTGATATTTAGTCTGCACATTTACCAAACGCACGTCGTGACAAATACAAATGCTTTTGTGCACTTTTATTAATCAAACTTCAGCCACATGTTGCAGTAAGAAGTTTATTGCCGACAGCAGCAGCCGTAATGAATATGATTGGACTTGAGAAGTGTGAGACCTCGAGTCCGAGACAAGACTGGGTTCAGGAGTGGTCATGTCCGAGTCGAGACCAAGACCGTAAAAAAACGGTCTCGAGTACCACGACAATAACATTAACGTTTTGAGAGTAAACAGATCACACTTTGTAGAGTTATCCTGATTTAGCTAAACAACACACAGAGGGGTTTTATTTTTACACTTTATTTTAGTTAATTTAACATTTTGGAGAGTAGTGACTGCACACTGAGAGGTGTAAATTAAGGTACATGGTAAAAAAAACACACACACATTGAGTGCATGTAAAGCCTTTATTTTCTTTAAAAAAAAAAATTCTTTTCTGTAAAAGATGAAATTTGTACAAAACTGGTTCAAACTGGTCTTGTCTCACAGGAGTTTGAAGATGGTGGTGCCAAATAATTATAAATAATAATACATTTATAATAAAAAAAACAAAACAAACAAACATATTTTAGCTTTTTAATCCTCAGAATGTATCCCTTAATGTGTAACAGCATTTTTAATCACCATTTAATTTAATCCTCTCTATTTATTCTTGTATTTATTTAGTTCTAGGTGTGTCATTTTTGGTTCTCAGTAGTTCATTTCCACAAAATGGGAAGGAAGTTCATAAAACCACACTTATCTATAAATATCTGTATTCTTTCAAATAGCAAAAGTATTTCCTCTTCTCAAAACTGCACAAAAGCCTCACACATTCTTTCTGCATTTGTAGTCATTATTAGTGTTTCTGTACCCGAGTGTTTTCCATGTTTTTGAACAGTGCAGATTGTCAGTACAGAGATATTGTATAAGCAGCAGGTGTGTAAAACATCTTTATTTCTTATTGAATAAGTCATTTATCTGTAAAAGTGTATTTTGAAGTGCTTAAATTGGGTTTAATAAAAACTGTAATTTCCTGTAAAAAAAAAAAAGACTAAACCACGTGTGGTGATGTGCCGCCTTCAGACCAGCACACACATTCTGCTGGTCTGTGTTGAAAAAGCAGCACGTTAGACTTAGTTGCTGCACTATTAAAAACACCTTTTTTCAAGGTGCTCTTTCAGATAAGATAAGAAACAAGTTATTTTGTTGGCCATGTTTGCTTTTCGGCCCAAGCAAAGTACCACAGAATAGTTCTGGCTTCAACAGTTTGAAAATGTTGATCAAGGCAGCGCTAAAACACCAGGCCCCTGAGGAACATGTAATATGTGTAGCTCATCTGAAAACTTTTGAAAAAGGCTGAGTCGAGCAGATCAGCAGAAGAAACGGGAGATCATCCACCCCAGATTTGGACAGAAAACACTTACCTGCACGTCGGGGCACCCGGCACAGTTGAAGAGTTTAGTTTGTTTGGCATTTTACAAAACAAGATTTTGGACGTGCAGTTCAGCTTGGATAGAATCAGTGATGTTTGTCACAGCGTTGAAAGAGACTAAATCCAGTTACATTTTTGACAGGACCACGTGGAACATCAGACCCACAGGCACACTACAGAGAGCATCACCGGACCATACTCAAAAACATCCTCAAACATACAAGGAACTGATTTAAAGATCACAACAAAATGAGGTTTGTCTTTTGGATGCATTCGCACTCAACTTCACATTGCAGTAACCGGGATAGTGTGTTTACATGCACCGTGACACAAAAAACCCCATCGTAACCAAGATACTGATGTACATGTAAAAGCACTCATTATAAACAATGCACCAGATCAAATAGAACTCGTTGCTCACAGACTGACACTGACACTGTTCTGTCCTTGTGTCGGTCGTTGTTGAGTTTTGGAGACGCACATTGAACAGAAGTAAATCTGCATCAGAGTGACGATGATAAGATCCTGAAGGAGAACAGAACTTTCAGTGCTTTCAAATAGAAACTGTTAGTAATTTAAAAAAAAAAAAAAAAAAAGTACTTTATTAATTTAATTTTCAGTGTTGTAGAAAGACAGATATTTGTTGTGATGCTTTGTAGTGACTTTCAATTGAAATTCAAGCACAGGTTTTTAACATTTCCCATGTTATTTTTTTCTCTCCATTCCGTCCATCTGCTCCTGTCCGGCCCTTCCATTAAATTTTAGAAGCCTTTGTGGCCCCTGAGCCAAAACGTTTGCCCACCCCTGGTCTAACATGTCGTCTTTCCACAGTAAAAGGTTAAGCAGTGTCCTAGTGTTTCTGAAGAAGACAGGCCTCTCTGACAGTATGACAGAACTGTATGCACTGGCATGTCTCATTCTGACCATCCCTGCGTTCACTGCGTCTGTGGAGCGCTCGTTCTCTGCCCTCAAACAAATAAAACTTATGCAAGAAATACAGCTGGACAGATGAGACTGTTTTCTTTGGCATCTCTCTCAATTGAGAAAGAACTGCTCATCCGACTGAAGCTGAACAGCTGCATCACGATGTTATCGAGCGTCTTGTTAAAAGGACCGACACATGGACTTTATTTACAAGTACTGGGTGAGTGTTATTTCTTTAATATGCTTTTACTGTGCTGGCTCCCAAAAGGCTGTAACTGAGTGTTTTACAGTGTATATGTGTATGTTTGTGTGTATTTATGACGCAAAAGCTGTAAAAAAAAAAAGAAAGAAAAAAAGTGCAATAAATGGTGCAGTGATGTGCACAAGTGTGTATTTCTCGCCGTCATTGACACCTCTCAGCACGCCGCTGTGTTACATCCAAAAATATCTGTACTCTTCAAAATATGTAAAAGTAGTTTCCTTTCTCTATATTGAAACTGCACAAAAGTCACATATTTTGTATTTGTAGTAATTATAGATTGTAATTGTAATTGTAGTAATTATTAGTGTAGGCCCTACTCGAGTGTTTTCCATGTATTTGAGCAAAATGCATGATAGATATATAATATATATAACATACTGTATAAGCAGCTCTTGGGGTCAAAATAAATCTGCTGTGTTCTGTCTGCATCAAATTAGAAAGTGTTTTACTGGTCGATAATCTCAAAAGTAAATAGTGTCTAGTTTCAGTGCTGCTTTTGTGAGGACTTCTCTGTGTCCACCAAAGCACAAACCAGCTGTGACTAAACTGTGACTGTGAGGCTCACACTTGCCACACCTAAGCGCACTTGAGTTCAGTGTACTTAAAAAAAACCTCGTGTTACCTTCATATAAAACCTCTTCAAGCCTGTTTTTGATGAGGTGACGGAATAACATGGGAAGTTTGGTTCAAGTTTCACTTAGTGTCAAAAGTCTTAGTGCAGTTTAGCAGGAGAACAGGTCAGGGAGGGTCAGCAGGTCTGTGTCAGGGCAGTTTGAGAAGAAGAAGGACCAAAAGTGTCTCTTTTCTGTGTCCTGCAGCGTCACAGCAGCTTCCAGGAGGAGTGAGGTGAACACAACAGGAAAGGCCTCGTTCTCATGCCACTCTGCTGTTCTGTTGGTGATGAAATGGGCCGTTTCCTCAACACACTTCCTCTGGAAGTTCTTGGAGTATTTTCTCTGGAAGTTCTCCCACATTTGCTGTGAGTGTGAAAAACCTGTAGCATCTCATGTGTCCAGTTCATTTCACACAGTCCAACAGTCCCTCACTTGTGTCGTTTGTCCTGCACATGCTGCACTTTTTAGTTGGTTAGATTCTCATGATATGAGGCTCAAAACTGAGCTCAAAAACCACAAATGGTTTCAGAACCTGCTCAGTGTGTGAGGACAGGTCACCACAAAAGCAGCCAAACACTCTGCTGCTGTGGAAGGAGTCAGTTAATCAAAAGTCAATTTTGCATAATTCCTTTGCTTTAAGTTAGGGTTAGGGTTTTACCACCATAAATAATCTTGTTCACAATGTTGTAAATATTACATTACAGGTGTTTTTTTTATTGTTCAGAGATATTTCATTTATTTGTAAGTTACATATTTTTTTAGATGTGTAGAAATGATCTGTTTCTACCACAAGATACGGAAACAGTTTTACTTCCTGTTTTTCTCACATAAATAGTGTTGGACTAAAGTTAACTGCAGAGAGCTGCTGTTGCTTTGTGTGGTGATGGAGCGTGTTGTGCGTGTTGTGCGTGTTGTGCGTGTTGTGCGTGTTGTGTGTGTTGTGCATGTGCTCCTGCTCTGGTCCCTGTGCACAGCTAAACACTCAGAGTACCAGGGGACAGTGATGACCTACTACCCTCTGATCACCCACCAGAACACATCGGTCACGGTAAGTACCAGCGCGGCTCTGGACAGGGCACAGTGCTCACAGCTTCTTCTCTACCTGGAGCTCAACTTCCACACCAATTTGTCTGACATGCAGGGTCATTTCAGCATGTTTAGGTCTAAAAAAGTTTAAAATACTACAGTATATTATCTGTTTTCAGTCTGTAGTTCTGGAGCAGTGAGTAACTTTTGCCAAACTTCGAGGTTAAGATTCTATTTTAGTAAAAAGAGTTTAGATGTATATTTATTGTTTACAGAATCAAACAATTTATATCATTTTTTACAGGTACAAGTTCGCTTCAAGTCAAATTCTAAGAGTTGCATCGTAAACAATTATTATTGTCCTTCTGAGGGCTGCTATCGTATCTCATACAAAAAAGTGACCGTTGATCGAGATTTGACAACAGAGTTTTGCCAAACAGAATCAGTCTGGACTCGGACAAGTCCCACCAATGCACCGATGCTGATGAAGTGAGTCATGAATACATGTTACATGTTTTTAAAAAATAAACCTGAAGCAAAACCTGAAGCTGTTTTGATTTTATCCTAAGGTTATTTCCGTACAACTGGATCAGCTCCACAGTGAACAGAGCCCTGGAAGCTAAAGCCTCCACCCTGGTGGAGCTGAGGAGCCGCTCAGACACTGGACAATCCAACGCGTCTCCACAGACGACCATCCTGCCCGTCTATCGGTGAGTCCCCTGGTTGTAATATAAGTCATTTGTAATGTTATGACTTTTTTAAGCTTTAAATTCCGATTCACAGAGTCTCCTGGAACTGTCCGAGTAACATCCGTCTGTTGACCTTTGACCCTGATGGAGACCGGGTCCGGTGCAGGTCTGCTGATAAAAGTAGAGACGCAAATGAGTGTGAGCAGTGCACTCTGCCCTCTGTGCTCCGCCTGACACCGGTGAGACTCTTCACACTTTCAACTAGACATGTCTCCAAATCAAATTATAGTGTTAAGATTATTGTGAGAAAAAAACACCACGATTTAACAATAATTCACAGTTATAGACAAATTACACTGTAACTGTAAATGTACTGTAAATAACACTGTCTCTGGATGGACTGGAAAACACTTAATAGTGAAAACAGTTGTCATTTTGTAGCTTTGATGATTATATGGCGACCTGATGGTCAGAGCATGTTCTAACTGTAGCCTCGTTCTCTCTCAGAGCTGCAGTGTGTCGTTCAGCTCGTCCAGCAGCAGCTCTGTGGGCCTGCACGCTGTAGAACTCATGATGGAGGACTTCCCCACCTCTGACATGGTCCTGACGGCCACTGACGGAGCACAGGAGGAGAGGAGCACCGGAGACCCCATCAGCAGACTAGCAATCCAGTTTTTACTTTCAGGTCAGTTAAACGGCCCATGTTAGGCTCATTTCTGATCTATGTTGTAATGGAGTTCAGTTTTGTTTAATTTTTTAACCATATTAAAACTTCACCAGGACACTTCAAATCACAGCACATTTGGTGGCACACAGCACTTTAAACATAACACATCTACTGTCTTCCCTTTTACCTCTTTTAATCACGATTGAAGCTGCTAACCGATTACCTTTTAAATAGAGTTGTGCAATATATATGTTGCAATATATCGGTTTCATAATGTTTGAAGTGTCCGTGTGTTTGTTAGTGTGTTTTATGGTGTTTTAATGGATGGTGTGGTGTTTTGGTGCTTTGTACTTATCTCCCTTTTCTTCTATCCAAGGCCTAAAAAAGTCCCTCAGAAACAAGCTCGACCAAGGGTGGACCAAGTTTAATACATTGTCCCGGGGTAGTGAGGGGTGTTTTATTGGTTTATGGGTTTTAAAGTTTACTTGGTGTATGGTTTTAGGCTTTTTAGGTATATAGTTGGGGTTTTAATAATGATTTGGTTTTGGGTTTGTTTTATGGAGGTTAAGGTCAATATTTTAAGATAATGTTAATTTTTTACCATCACTGTTTCAGCTGTTGTAGTTTTACCCAATCAGTCAGGCCAGATAAAAGGTGCCTCCAAACATGCTTGATATCTACACAAATATGGGCAGGGCAACGTCTTAGGAACAAAAGGATACCACCTTTTTTAATGGAAATGAACAACAGTTGCACTAGAGCAGCAACAATGAGACAGCCCCTAAAACAGGACTGGTTTTGCATGTGGAGGTCATTTCAAGTTTCTACTAGTGGGAGTATGAGGCCATTCCTTCACCCTACAGAAGTTGCACAGATTGTCCTACTTCTGCAGGGGATGTGCCGTCACAGGAGATTTAATGTGTCTCCAGCACAGAACATGATTTCAGGAGACAGGCAGTTCCTCTAGCAGACCTGGACAGGGCTGTAGGAGGTCCTCAACCTTTGTGCAGGAGGAACAGGCTGAACTCTGTCCATGCCCTACAGAATAACCTCCAGCAGGACACTGGTGTGAATATCTCTGCCCAAACGATCAGAAACAGTCTTCACGAGAGCGCTGTGCTCAGCGCCCAGCACCGTGGAGCTCCACTGGTATTTGCTCGACCACACCAGACTTGGCAAGTCCACCACTGATGCTCTGTGCTTTTCACAGATGAGAGCAGGTTCACCCTGAGCTCCTGTGATTGTGATAGATGTGAAAGAGTCTGGAGGAAACAAGAACAGAATACTGTCTGAAACCTGGTTCAGCAGGAGCGGTTTGATGGTGGGTCAGTCATGGTCTGGGGAGGCAGATCCATGGAGGGACCCACAGATCTCTACCAGCTAGAAAACGGCAGTCTGACATTTGGTATCAGCACGAAATCCTCAAACCCACTGTCAGACCCGACGCTGGTGCAGCAGGTCCTGGGTTCCTCCTGATGCACGACAACGCATGAGTCTGCAGGCAGAACCTGGAGGATGAAGGGATCGATAAAACTGAATGGCCCTCATGATCACCTGACTTAAACCCGATAGAAAACCTCTGAGACATTATGTTTGCGTCCATCAGACGCTGACAAGTTGCTCCTCAAACTCTACAGGAGCTCAGTGATGCCCTCACACAGATGTGGGAGGACATCCCACAAAGCACCGTCCGTCGTCTCATTAGGAGCGGCCACTATGTTGTTAAACAAGCAAACAAGCAGGTGGGGGCCACACAAGAGATTGAAAGTCATTTTGAGTTGCAGAAATTAAATTTTGGCAAAATGGACTAGACTGCTATATCATTATTTCACTTAGATTTTCAGGGTGTCTATGAAATTAAGCCCCCTTTTGTTCCTAAGACATTGCCCTGTCCTTATTTGTGTAGATGTCCAACATATTTTCACATGGACATCTGAAGTGTTCCTTTAATTTTTATTAGTTTTTTATTAGTCTTTAGGCCGTTATGTCATCTGAACCCCAGCATCTGACAACTGGTAAACATTCATAAAACACAGTTCTAAACATCGTGTGTTTGCTCTTGTAGTGGGGTCTGCAGCTCCCTCGTGCTCCCCTGGCATGTACCTGCCCGTGTTTGTGAAGCCCACCCCCCAACATGAAGATCACATCTACTCTGTGGTCAGTGAAACTCTACAAATCTACATCCAAGCCCAGGCCCGAGAGTCCACGTGAGTCCCACTCAACACTTCAACACTTCAAACACACTTCCCTTTTATTATTGTCTGTGCAAAAACAGAGCTCATTGGTCACTGCCCATTTTCAACAAAATCAAATATCTCCGGACCATACGTGTCCCTGATTGGCTATTTCACCAATTATCAACCAAGCCCATGAACTCTTAGATATTATAACTCTCATATTTGTAAAGTATTAAAGAAGTGTGTATTCTGTTCTATTCTATTCTGGATGCCACACAAACATTTATTAGCTGTGAGACGCTGCAGAACATCCAGAACACTGCAGCTCGGGTCCTGACTCGAACTAGGAAGTACGAGCACATAAGTCCTGTGCTCAGGTCCTCCTGCTGGTGCCCAGAGTCACGACTAAACAAGGGGAGTCAGAGTTTCAGGTTCATGCAGCTAAAACCTGGAACAGTCTGAACATGTGAGACAGACTCTTCTGTGACGCTGTTTAAATCCAGACTCAAAACATTTCTGTTTGACTGTGCAAATGACTGAAAGGTTTTCATTCCACACTCTTCTCTCTAATTCAGCGGTGTCAAACTCATTTTGTTCCGGGGGCCGTATCCAACCTACTCTGATCCCAAAGGGGCCGGATCAGAAAACTCATGTCATATAAACCCGAAAAATAACAATAAGTTCAAATATTTGTGCAGAGAAACACAAATCTATTACAGAAATCTTTTTTAATTGATGAACTCTTTCTTATTATATTATAATATTATGAACAACCTGAAACTTTAAGAAAAACTCTATTTCAACATTTAAAATATTTTAGTAGAAAATCACCCTAGGGCCACATTAAAGGTCTTGGAGGGCCGGATCTGGCCCCCGGGCCTTATGTTTGACACCTGTGCTCTAATTTATGTCTCTCTTTTTTAATTTTAATCTTCATGATTATTTATGTTTTGATTTGTTTTTATTATGATTTTAATGTATTTCTTATTCTGTAAAGCACTTTGAATTACTTTGTGTATGAATTGTGCTGTACAAATAAACTTGCTTTGCCTATTACCAATAACAAAATGTATTTCTGGTGATAGATTTTTTTTCTTTTTCAACTTTTTACATTTTTTTAAAATGTTTGCACCAAAATATCCACACCTTCATCCGACTCATTCTGGTGTTTACGTGTGGAGTTCCTCAGGGGTCGATTCTGGGGCCCTCTTTATATGAGGAGCATTGGTTTTTGTAGACAATTATCCGATCAGAAAACAGAATGAGCCTCACATGAGTCTCTCATCTGGGTCAATGCTGAAATCCAGTTGGTTTAAACCTAAAATGCCGCTCTCTGATCTGAATGTTCACTACCTAAACCCCAGAAGCTACAGCCAAATATGAGTCAAATACTGAAAAAAAAACAAAAAACTTTTATGTATGTGTCCTGTGTGCAGATTTAGGCACTGGCAGTTGTGATTATAACTTTTTTAAAACAGTAACAGAGAGAATACACACAGAACTTACATTTAAAATCATACAAAATGTGTTTATTATAAATATCAATTAAAACTCTTGTGATTAACTTGTGATTTTGTGTGGTAGGATTTCTGACGTCCTGTTCAGTGGCCCTTCAAACATGACGAAAGCGAAGTCCAATGGTCAGTACGTTCTGAGCTGGGCGCCCTCTGCTGCTGAACTCGGGAAAGGTTTTGCTGTGTGCTTCGTGGCTGAGGCTGTTCACGGGTCTGTACTTGTGTCATCTGGATTAAAACATGTTCAAATATGAATCAGGATCATCTTTTTAAATCTGTTTTATTCCCACAGTTCTGCAAAGTTTCACTCTGAACATCGGTGCGTTGTCGTGCACGTCAGAAACGGTGAGTTAAACAGTTGAGTTTAGTTCATTTTTCTCACATTTATCTATAACTCGAGTTCACTGCATCAGACAAGTTAAACAAAAGTCACATAAGAAGTAAAGGTAAAGTAAAGGTTCAGTGTGTAACTTTCTGGAGGTGGCACATCACCTGCATGATTCTGTAGAAATAAAAAGTTAAAACCACACGTCGGAACATTCTGCATGGAGATAGGTGAAGTTTTATGCCAAAAGAAACAACTTTTCCATGGAAACAAGCAGGCAGAGGCCCTCCACCGGGACAAACAAGAGTCAGGTTTGTGGAGATGCGAGCCCACTCAACAAACTAAAAATCTAGCGGAGAAAGGAGAATCTAGTAAAATAATTTATCAGGAGACCAAATTGAACCAAGTTTGATTTGATTTCTTCTCTTTTAGTCAAATCAGCACAACCAAAATGAATAAAACATGCTTTAATTTTTCATTTTGTGGCTCTAAAATGTGTTTTGTGGTTATCGATAATCAACAGCAACTAATTAGAGATCTTTTTTCTTCTCAGTTCCTGATGTTAACGGCTCCTCTCCGGTCCGCTCCTCGTCCCTCTTCAGCCTGGCCTTCATTCTACTGTATGAATATTTCTGTTAAAGTTTTTTGAGAACTAAACTGTATATGTGGTGTTTTAATAGAATGGTCAACTGTTCCTAGTCATTTTTTTGGCAATTCCCATGGAAATCAAATCAAAAAACGCTAAGATCCCGTCCACACTAGTCGTATTTGAGTTGTTTTTGTTGTGGATGCAGTGTTCGTTCACACTAATCCGATTGAAAACGGCTCAAGAGATGGAACGATCTGGTGCCGCTGAGGTCCCACGAATTCATCTGAGTACAGATCTGATCCGGCACAGTGTGGACACCTGAAAACGCTGATACTCTGATGTAGGTTTATGCACCGCGAAGTAATTCACCGCCAAAACACTAAGAGGCTAGAATATCTGTCAATTCATATAAACGTGTGTCTGTGTGTACGACCTGTAGACGTATAATCTCTGAAAAGTTTCACATGAACCATCTCCAACGCGACAGAAACAGAACAGACTCACCATCAGCAGAACACCCCTCTGTCACAGAAAGAACACTCATATTCCACTGAGTTGTGTCCTTTAGACCCCGTTTACACTGAAATGAATCCGTGTATCACTGTATCGGCAACGATCTGCGTCCAGACACGTCGTTTATGTGTCTGCAAGTCTTCCCTAGCCACGCAGCTTTGAGCATATTTGTTTACATTTTACAGAAACAAAACTTAAAACCGCATGACACATTTGCATAAACTGATCGCTCAAAAAACAGCTCGATATTGTGCGATAATGTGATTCAGCTTCTGCTCTATATTCTGGCCTCTTACTGTTTTGGCGGTGAATCATTTCGCGGTACATAGAACTACATCAGCTTATCAATGTATCAACGTTTTCAGGCGTCCACACGGTGCCGGATCAGATCTGTACGAACATGAATTCGTGGGAGTTGGAGGCACCAGATCGTTTCGTCTCTGGAGCAGTTTTCTATCGGATTAGTGTGAACAAACACTGAATCCACAACCAAAACAACTCAAATACAAACTAATGTTGATGGGGCCCTAGTCCGACAGAAGCTGAACCACATCAGGGCACAAGGAGCGAACTGTTTTTTTGAGAGCTTAGTTTAGGCAAATGAGCCACGCGGTTTTAAGTTTCATTTCTGCAAAATGTAAACAAATCTGCTCAAAGCTGTGTGGATAGAGAAGACTTACAGACACAGAAACGACGTGTCTGGACGCAGATCGTTTCCGACACGGTGATACTGTGATTGGTTTCAGTGTACATATAGCCTGGAACTGCTGCCTGCACTGGCCTCTGCAATTTCAAGTAGTTGGTGACATCACAACAAACTGCCCTGATCACAGCCTGGGGTTTCAGATTACAAACACCAGCTCCAATTGAAACGTGGTTGTGGGCGAAGTTTAGTTGTGTTTGCTGTGTTTAAAAATGTCGGCAGCGAACAGCATGAAGCCAAATACATGATGGCGTCACTTAAAGACATTACACCTCAGTCACGCTGATAAGACGCTTGAGTTTTTTCAGCGAAAATGTCCCGAATATTCAATCAATCAATCAAACTTTATTTGTATAGCACTTTTCATACATTTGAAATGTAGCACAAAGTGTTTCACATGCAACAGAAAAATTACAATAATTAAAAACAACAGCAACCCCCTCACCCCACTGTTTCATCCACATATACACAATAAGACGTAAACATATTGCAACAATCATCCCACTTTGTGAATGCTGCTTCAGTGAACCAGCGAGCATGTTTCGTATCATATAAGGTGTCGTACCAAACAGCAGAGGAGCTAATTCTGCTGAACTATAACACAGACATGATCTTTAAAAACGAGGAGGACACAGGAGCGGATCACCTCATGACGCAGGTGAGCATAGCGTAGAATACAAACAGACACATGCTGAGTGTTTCCCGGGAGTCACTTTGGAGACGCGACTAAAACGTTTGCTCTCGTATGTCGGCGACTGAAGGCGATGGTGCGATTTGTCCACGTTTGATCGTGGTTCTGAGGAGTGGAGGGCGAGAATTGTTTTCTTCTTCCTAGTTGGGGATGTGACAGAAAATAGTTGAGAAGCGCTGGTAAATAAATCGCCAAAAGGTCACTAGTAACAGTGGACAGTGATATTAAAACAAAGATGTTGTAAAAAATGAATAAAATTGCAATGTTTTTTTGTTTTTTAATTAGAATATAGTGTATTGTCTTTAACATTTAGTCTAAACAGTCTGTATTGTGTGTATAAAACTCTGCACTCACTGATGCATTGTTAAATTATTGTCTTAAAGTTCTTTACAATAATACTGAACTTTTGCACGTTTATTAACTTCATAAATCATTTTCCTCTGTTCATCTCTTACAACATTCTGCTTTTGCTTTCATTAAAGGTTTTATATTACACAAAATAGACTCTTGTGATTTTTAAAGGACACATAATGGCCCATATTTACAAAACATCCATCTAAAGTAACTTCAGCAGTAGTGCTCCCCCAACAGGTCACTTGTGAGAATGCACTGTCGTAAATATTTCCCTGTTCCCCGTGTTTAGTTTCAGTAGTTTAGTTTAGTTTCATTCACGTGTTTGTCTGATCTTTTATTATTAGTCTGAACATCTCCAAAGATCAAAATTTACTTAATTATAACAAAGGCAAGTCTGGACAAAACACACGACAAAGGCACTAAATCCGTGTATCATTTGTTCATTCGTATTTCAAAATAAAACCAAAAATAAGAAAATAAAAAAACAACAGTTTTCTTCATTATTTGCCTTTAAAACCAAAATGAAAAAACAAATAATGATTTGTTTTTTCATTTTGGTTTTGTGTTTAAATGAAAAATGGAAAAAACAAATAACAACCGTTTCCCGTTTAAGTGACTTAAACTGAGATACCAAACTGAACCAGGACTGGAACAGGTCCAGGACCAGACCAGAACCAGACTGGGACCAGACCGAGATTGAGGCTAAGACTGAGACCGGGACCAGACCAGGACTGAGACCGAGACTGAAGCCGAGACCAGACCGGGACTGAGACCAGGACTGAGGCTGGGACTGAGGCCAGGACCAGAGCAGGACTGAGACCAGGACTGAGGCCAGGACTGAGGCCAAGACTGAGGCCAAGACCAGACTAGGACCAGACAGTGATTGAGGCTGGGACTGAGACTGGGACCAGACCGAGACTGAGACCAGGACCAGACTGGGATTAGGACCAGGACTGAGACCGAGACTGGGACTAGACCGGGACTAAGACCAGGACCAGACTGGGATCAGGACCAGGACTGAGACCGGGACAGAGACTGGGACCAGACCAGGACTGAGACCAGGACCAGACTAGAACAAGATCAGAACTGAGACCAGGACTGAGACCAGGACCAGGCCGGGACCAGACTGTGATTGAGACCAGGACTTAGACCAGGACTAGACCAGGACTGAGACCGGGACCAGACCAGGACTGAGACCTGGACCAGACAGGGACCAGGACCAGGCCTGAGTATCAGATCTTCACATGTTTTTATTATTGAAAAATGCTTATGAGAATTTTTAAACCTTACACTTATGACCCAGGAACTTTTTTTTTTTTTTTTAAATCACAACTGTGCACAGAGAAAAGGGTCGGGGATGAGTTTTTTTTTGCAGGATTACTCAAACCTGCATGAACCAACCAAAACAAAACTCTGAGAGAACTAATAATGAGAGAACAAGAGGCTCACGGTGGAAAATAAAGTGCTGGACCGTCCTGTGTACTTTAGACGATTCACCAGTGAAGGACAAATAAAGAGGAATGCACCTGCCCTTATTGAGAGTAAAATGTGTGTCCTGAAGTGTGGGCTTTTCAAATGTTACTGGATCAATACTCTGCAGCCTGGCATTTCTATTAGAGGAGACTTTGTGAACCTGCTCTGCTCTCTTCTCTTCTGTTCTGTTCTGTTCACGCTGCAGATTCTCACACTTCTGTGTTTAGTGAGTTTCAATTCAGCCAAACTCAACAGTGAAAAGTTTGAACACACCGTCGCATTCAGGTTTAGGCTCCTGGATTTTTTTCTTTGCAGGTTGAAAATAGTTTGCGTGCCGGATCAGTAAATATTCACGTCCAGACGACAACAGAGCACTGAGTGAAAACGATGTAATACACATGCCACACCTGTATGTGGCGCTGTAAACAATGATGATAATATTTAATAATGCAAATCTCATCACCGTTTTTTATATTTTTTTTTATTTTAAGGTAATTTAGCCGAGTTTAGATGTTATACAAATATAGCCATTTTGTTTTGCAAAAGTTAAACACAAGTCACAGAAAGAACCAATATCTTCCACTGAGTCGTGTCCTTTTAGTCCGACAGAAGCTGAATCGCATCAGCGCAGTAGTGAGCTGTTTTTTTTTTGAGTGCTCAGTTTATGCCACTTAGCCATGTGCTTTTAAGTTTCATTTCTGTAAAATGTAAACAAATATGCTCAAAGCTGTGTGGATAGAGAAGACTTGTGATGTGTCTGGATGCAAATCGTTTCTGATACGGTGATTTGTTTCAATGTAAAAATAATCTTTGTTATTAAACCATCCCATCCATCCATTTTCTTCCACTTATCCGGAGCCGGGTCGCGGGGGCAGCAGTCTAAGCAGGGACTCCCAGACTTCCCTCACCCCAGACACGTCCTCCAGCTCCTCCAGGGAACCCCGAGGCGTTCCCAGGCCAGCCCAGAGACATAGTCCCTCCAGCGTGTCCTGGGTCTTCCCCGGGGCCTCCTCCCGGTGGAACATGCCCGGAACACCTCCCGAGGGAGGCGTCCAGGAGGCATCAGAACAGATGCCCGAGCCTCAACTGGCTCCTCTCGACGTGGAGGAGCAGCGGCTCTACTCCAAGCTCCTCCTGTGTGACTGAGCTCCTCACCCTATCCGTAAGGAAGCGCCAAGACACCCTGTGGAAGAAACTCATTTCGAGCGCTTGTATCCACAATCTCATCTCGTCTCTGTTATTGATCCGTGTGCGTAATCTGTGGTGTGTGTTGTTAGTATTGGTGCTAACAGTGTGTCTCGGTTGCTGGATGACAGGAGTGGCTCCGTAGGCGACACCTGTCACATTTTGGCAACGTTCTTGCGATCTGCGTAGGCCAGTTCGAGGTCTTCACTGCATTGGAGGACCCTGGTGATGACGGGGTCGCGACGTCATTGATTTCCAAAAGCTGAGGTTTGTTTGTCCACACGACAACGCGACGCCGACATTCTCAGATTTCTCCACTCTGGAACCTGTTCTCAAAAAACTCTTTTCGCCCACCCACAACGCCAGCTCCAAGTGGACGAAAGGCCAAAATGAATACAAACTTTTCCGTTTTGACCAAAAAACGTTGTTGTGTGGACGGCCTTGCTCAGGTCTGCCATAGACTTTTCTTTAGAAAGTTCATGGACCCAGGTGCTACACAAATCTGAACGGGCGCTTCACGGATCCAAACAAACCCAGTGATGTTTGTCAAAATTTCTAAAAGTCCAGCAGAGTGTGAAGTGTTTTCAGTGTAAACTGTTGGAGGAGACATTAAAAGTCCAGAGCTGTTCACTTTATATTTGTGGTTGTGTGTCTGATTTCCTCTCGAGGGTTTTCATGCTGAGTTAGTGTGACCCAGATAAAACGCTCCACTGCCTCACGTCAAAGCAGGTGGATTAAAATGTATAAACACCTCACGTAAAGTCTGTTTGTTTCCTGTGATCACCGCGTGCCTCTGCCTCAGCTGGAGCTCCAGTGTCTCAGGGTTTTGTTCACGAGGAGAGGATGCATTAGGACGCGGAGAGATGCTCAGAATCTCGTTCATGTGTCTGTGGATGTGCAGGCGAGAGGGCACAGGTGCCTCCTGACGCCCAAAACACACCACAGGCCCAGAGAGGTGACGTTCCCTCAGACGTGTGCAGGACGTCACGCTGCTTTCACCTGCTCCTGTCCAACAAGACTGAAGTGTCAGACTGAAACTAGAGCCCTGCACTCGTGGGACCCGACGCAGAACAGTGCGGCGCGGGACACATTTTGAAAACTGATTCCGGTGCGGACGAGAGCGAGCGCAAACTAAATATGAGAGTAAAGTAAAATATACAAATGATTCATGTTTGCATATCATACATCATTTGTGTTGGATATTTTATTTGACATTTTAAAAACAGTTCAAGCAGCCTAAAGTTCTTGACGTGGTCTTATCTTGTGAACATTTTAAATTCCTTTCCGCTTCTCTGTGTTTTTCCCATCCTGCAGGATTTGTGGGACAAAATATCACAAGCAGGAGCGGGACTGAAAACTCTTTCCCGCGCAGATCTCTAACTGAAACATGGACGACATCTAAACCCTCCTCAGGTTTTTAAAGAGAAAACAACTTATAACTGAGATGCACCGATCCAGCTTTTTCACTTCCGATACCAATATGAACTGAATTATTTGACTTTAAGTATTTGCCGATACCTGAAGTTAACTGATATTTAGAAATGGCACTTATTTCCTTAGAACACAGTTAACTTACAACACAAGAGGTATAATTGTGTAACTATTATTTACCCTTCAAATCACCACTGAAAATACGGAAGCCCTGAGAGGCAAGAGGAAAAAAAAGAAAAAAAGAGGCAGGTCATTTGGGCTCTATTTTCAAAGTTTTTTTTTTGTTTTTTTTCACCAACTCAAAAAGTAAATAAATTATTTTCTTAAAAAAAATAAAAAAAAAATAAAAAAAATCTTTAAACAACAAAATCTACTATTTTTTTTCTACATCTTTTTTTCTTGTGTTTTCTTTTTTCTCACTGTTGATGTGGCTGATGAAAAGAAAGAAAGAAAGAAAAAAAAACCCACTTAGAAAATAGAGCCCAAATGACCTGCCTCTTTTTTTTCTTTTTTTTTTTTTTTTCTCTTGCCTCTCAGGGCTTCTGTATAAAGAAATAACTTACTTCATGTGAATAAAAGTTGAAACATTATGAGACGTTCTAGGCCAAAATCAGCCTGTAAATATTTTTATTACCTACAATAAAAGGCCCAGTCACAGTAACAGTTTAACCGATATCCTGGAGCCGATACCGGGCTAATCTTTCAATATCGACACAAACATTCGATTCCAGTTTTGTCTCATTATAACACGATAGAAAACTTTTTTAATTAAAATGAGGTCATGATTTCATGTTTATGACTCAGCTCCTTCAAACAAACTGGAGCTGCTCTCGGGGGCAGTGAGCTGGTCCTGTCGGTCCTGTCGGTCCTGTCGGTCCTGCCGCTGTCAGGCGTCTGCTCAGACCCAGGGCTGTGGGAGTGACAGGGACAGTGACAGGGACAGTGACAGGGACAGGGACAGTGACAGGACAGGGACAGTGA